TGGCTATAGATTTTGTATCCCGCTATCATGACTGTTTCTTCGACATTGCTCTGCTTTCAACTGTAAGTTATCCAAGTAGAAATTGATTTATTTAAACAACTATCCTGGTTTCACAAGTATTTATGCTGCCAAACCTTACTGTCACTAAAAGTTGCATATCATGAAGCCAATTCCTTTCAGTGGAAAAAATGGGAGGACAAAACTGATTGTGGTTTTGGTTGCAGGTAGCAACTGCAAGTCAATTTTTCATTTCTTATACGATCCGCACATTTGGTGCTCTAACATTTGCAACCATAATGACCACAAGACAGGTATTAAGAAATACTACAAGAGTTTGAAAATTTGATCGTCTTCCTTCTAAACAGGCCATGTGCATAAAACTAAAATGTGATGCCTTATTAAATTTGTGTAGTTGGTGAGCATTTTGCTGTCATGCTTGTGGTTTGGCCATCCTTTGAGCTGGGAGCAATGCATTGGAGCTGTAAGCATCAACTTCACTCTATTGGTTTTGTAATGTGAAACTTCTTTACCTAAAAAAGAAAGAAATATCTTAGTTTGATTTCTTTTTATCAGGTTATCGTCTTTGGATCCCTTTATGCAAGAACCTTCTTGAAGACTATACAGAAGCCGCCGTCATTGGAGATGACTGAAACTAGAGCTTCAGGTCCTGCATAAGGAAATCTATCATGAAGTAACTTGTGATCATTGGAGTAAGTGAATTGAAATAGCTCTCTGCAACTTCAACGCTGCTCGGAGAAAGATGTAATTAAACAGAGGCATGAAAGGGATTTCTTTTTCCGGAATTCCAGACGGAAGGCTACCTTGCTGTTATTGCATTATAACTTGCATATGAAAATGGAATATGCAATGGAGCAAGATTTTGACAAGCCTTCCTCAAATCTTTGCATGTTAAATTGCCACCTCACTAAGCAACAGAAGTTCAATGATCTTTCGTTCAATTAACTATGGACTTCTTTTCCCATTTTTGTTACTTAAAAAAAGATGTAATAGGCATGAGTATGCAATGCATACTTGTTTTCTCTTCAGGAATTTGGAACTGTACAAGTAGACATCAGAAATGTATGAGGTATGTGTTGTGGCTCTAACCTTTTTCACCTTTAACAACACATTATCAGCTGGTGGGTTTCACTAGGATCATTCATACGAGTAATCAACGTGTAAATTTGATGCAGTGGAACATGACATATTCTGTGTATCAAATTTGAAAAATTGTACGTTGGGAACTGTCATACAATGGGGAAAATGACGAGGAATACTACAAATTGTAGCTGAAATAACGCGAGTTGCACCAAGTTTATTTAACGCTGTAATGATGATGTGGTTGGTCACATGAAAAATGAGACATTACGCTTGATGTAATATTGTAATTCATGGTAAAAGATGTGTAGCAACTGCAAAAAGATTTCTTTTGTTTACGCATTTTATAGTTAGAAATTTAATATATTACTGTGCGCGAGTAAGTGGAAAAGAGAACTAAGCGAGGTACGAGTAATTGGTCTGCGATTGGAGAAAGCAAACCAAAAAAGAAGGAACAACGAAGTATAAAAGGGGAATAATAATTGACAATTTGTTTTGGAAATGAAATATCCTAATTTTAGATTACAGCTATTGGTAATGGTAACTACACAAGGGAAAATTTTCAAGCTTTAACAACCAATTCCAATTTTAGTTTGAATAAGCATTATATGAGAGAAACTGATGATAATTTTTTTTTCCTCATCGAAGAAGTTTATTTTATTTAAATGTCACGAGTAACTTTGTCAACAAAGTGGCTGTAGTTTAGTGGTGAGAATTCCACCTTGTGGCCGTGGAGACCTGGGCTTTCCCAGCAGCCACACTGTTTTTTTTTTTTTTTTTCAAACCTTTTTAATCCGGGCAAGATTTTTCTTTTTTCCTTAAATGCTTGTTTAGCCACATTCAATAATGGAATTTAATATTTATTGAGACTTCATGTAATGCACCTTGATTTTAATATCAAAGATGTCATTTACTACAGTATAGGAAAAATAGTTTGACACCTGATTTTACCATAAATATTTGGTTAAAGATGTTTATTGAGACTTCATGTAATGCACCTTGATTTTAATATCAAAGATGTCATTCACTACAGTATAGAAAAAATAGTCTGACACCTAATTTTACCAATAAATATTTTGGTAAAGTTTCAAAGATTGATAATAGCGAACTCTTAAAGTTTATTTAGTCATTTTAAGGAGAAGTTAGATGATTTAAATTATTTAAAAGAACGAACTTGAGATTTTTCTTCTCAGCAAATCGAGAAATTAATCAAAGAAATTTCATCCCTGTCAAATTCAGTATTGGTTTGCACGTCTCTATTGCAAACGATATAAAAAGGAATATATATATATATATATATATATATATATATATATATAATAAAAAGAAATGAAAACGTGGTTTGATATACATATGAAACGTCGAGAATACAAATAAAATATCTCCAAAGAATTTATATTACAGTAACAAATCCTTCTATTCTAGGTGGTAATAATACTAGTAGAGGAGTGGATTTTTAAGAAGTTCTAAATTTAAATCTTATGGAAGTACGAAGAAAAAAAAGTGTGTGCTTTATATATCTCCTTATTTAGGTCATTAGGTGTATCGAGCCTTCAAATATTACTGAATGTACAGACAGTACGAGCATAAAAATTGCTTAATTTTGTATCAGCTTATATTCAGTAAACAACAAAAAAAAAAAAATCTCAATACTTTTCCTCTAGTGTGCTCTTTTCCTTTTACATTTAACGCTTCTATTAAAAAAGTTAGTCGGGTGCACTAAGTTCTCGCAATGCGTAAGGTCCGAAAAATATCGGACAACGAGGATTTATTGTACGCACCTTATCTTGTATTTTTGCAAGAGCCTGTTTCCACGACTCAAATCAATAATCTTCTGATAACATGGCAATAACTTTACCAATTACGTCTAGGCTCCCATTCTACTAGCAGACAAAAAAGGTTGCTCTCGCCACCTTATTCTATTTTGTTAGTTTGGGCAACTTCATCCACTAAGATATTCATATTATTAAAATCTACCACATGAGCAAATTAAATATTAGCGTGCTACTATAAATTATTGCCAGTTGATTTATTTTATTTGTATGTCAACGTAATATTTTAATATTTAAGTTTCTTATTATTGTTATTGTCTTTATTGAATTTGGCGATCATTCCCTCCGTTTGTAAAACTTTACAAATTTAATAAATTATTATATGTTAAACCATCTAAGTACCGAGATATTATGTTAAATTTGTCTTGTTATTTTATCTTTGAGAGTTAGTATAGTTCTAAAAATAATAATCTAAACATCATATTTCATATTCAGGGTATCAAAATCATACAACTAATGCTAATCATGCTTAGTAAAAGCTTACATTAATCAATATCAGAATTTATCAATAATTGAAGAACCAACGCAATTATCCTTTTAATAAATTTACAAGCATTTATTGTGAGTTACAACAACAACAACAAACCAGTATATCCCACAAATAGGGGACCGGAAGGTATTAAGTACGCAATCTTATCCCTATCTTATGCAGGTAAAGAGGCTATTCTGGTAGATACGCAGCTCCAAGCAAGCAGGCAAATCACAACAATATAAAGACAAAATACATTAGTGTAAAAGTCAAGAAAGTATTAACAGCAACTAGGAAGTAGAGCAACCAAAACACAGGCGATACTAGGTAGTAATAGAATTTTAAGCAGGTGGAAAATACTAAACAACCCCTGGTGACAGGAAAAGGAAAGCATGCACTGCCTACTAAGCTTCTACCCTAATCCTCGCCCTTCACGCCCGCCTATCACGGGTCATGTCCAAAAAAGGGAAAAATTGTAGAAGCCGACAAAATTAGTTGGAACTAATCTTTAAAAAAGTAGCCCACGTGGAAATTTCTTCCCAATTACTCCCTCCGTCCCAGTTTATGTGAACCTATTTCCTTTTTGGTCTGTTCCAAAATTTGAAAACAATTTAGCTTAAACTTACAATTCTACCCTTAATGAGAAGCTTTTATAACCACGCAAATACTCTGGGCCCTTTTTTGACTTGTTTAGGACCACAAACCAAAAATCTTTATTTTATCTTAAACTCCGTATCAATCAAATAGGATCACATAAATTGGAACGGAAGGAGCAGTTATTTCCACCAATAGGTCATGTCTTCTAATCACACATAATATTTATGGTCACTAATCTTCTCTTCTTTTATTTCTTTTCCGTTTTGGACAAGGTCGTTATCTCCTACAATACTAATGGAATCATCTAATCATATTTCTATTACAATAGAAACAACAATTAACTTGCGCGAAAGTTAAGCAGTTGTCATAATCTGTTTCGATTTCGAAATCTAATTACCACTCGGCTAGTTAATCTCTTATCCTTTTAAGAGTTTTGTAGGTGTTTGGACATAAAATTAGTATATAATTTTTTTAAAAAGTTGTTTTTGGAATTAAGTTGAAAAATAGTATTTAAGATTTAAAATAATGTTTGGATATGCATTTCACTTAGAATATACTGCAGTTTTTATGAATGGGGAAAAGTTTTTTGAAATTTTAAAAAAGATATTTTGGAAAATTCATTTTCCAAAAAATTTCTAAAATTTAATTTTTTTTGTACAAATACATTTTTGGAAAAAAATTCGAAAAAGGCAGGAAAAAAATCTAAGGACAAATAGGTCCTTAAGTTTCATCCTGATATAATCTAAATAACAGAGTCAATCAATTTTTTTAATTAATTACTGAAAATAGTAAAAAGACTATTAGGACCATAAAATCCACAATGGAAACACCACATTCTCCAATATAATTGGCAGATAAAAAAGCACCTAATAATGAAACAATCTACAATTTATGTCCTATTTGTCTAAACAAAAGAGCTAGCACGAAATACAATAATCAATAATTAGCATTGAATATTTCGTACTTAAACAAAATAGTTACCACTTTTATCTAAAACTCAAAATCCGCAAACCCCATAATCCAACTATAATTCTGTTCTATCACAAATTTCTCTTTACTAAAAATCCTTATCCTACGGAATTTTGGTGAAATTCCTCTCTATAAATACCAAACTCTCCTTCACTTTACAAATCACTCAGCTTTTACACAGCTTTCTTGTATTTTTCTTCAGTGAGAGATTCTTTTAGTTTTTTCTATAATACAAAAAGAAAGAAAGAAAGAGAGATGGATCTTGATCTTACACCAAAGTTGGCAAAGCAAGTGTACGGAGGAGATGGTGGTTCTTATCATGCATGGTGTCCTAATGAGCTGCCGATGTTGAAAGAAGGAAATATTGGTGGTGCTAAACTTGCTCTTTCTAAAAATGGTTTTGCTTTGCCTCGTTACTCTGATTCTGCTAAAGTTGCCTATGTTCTTCAAGGTAAATTTTGGGTTCCTTTTTTTTCTGCGTTATGATCATAATTTGGGGTTTTTGTGTTTACTGTTTTAGAATTCTATGTCTACTACTTGGGTTTTATAATTGGTGTTTTTTGACTTTTTTTGTTTGTGAATCGTAATGGGTTTGTTGTTTTGATTTATGGGTTTTTGTTCGATTTTGTTCTTTAGAGTAAATACTTACTACTCCATTGTTTTAGAATTCTATAATCCTACTTGCGTTTTGTTGGGGTTTTTTTAATCATGATTTTTTGTTTTGTTTTGATTGGTGGGGTTTTATTTATTTATTTATTTATTTATTTTTAATGAAGTTTACTTGTTTGATTTGGGGGTTTGGTTCTTAGTCTTGGTTTTGATGGTTTGGTTTTAGGATCTAGGTCTTGTGTGATCTATTTAGTACTATTTGATTATGATGTTAAGGTCTAAGGATTTGATCCCTCTTTTACTGTAAATCTTTTTTTTTATTATTATTGTGACATGGTTTGTGAGTAATTATGATTACATGGTTTGTGAGTAATTATGATTAAATTGTTAAGATCATACTACTTTGAGTAACGATAGTTGCTAATTATGACCAATTAGTGTAGCACTTAGATTTCTATTTACTATTAGAAAGAGAGCTAAGTTATCCAAATATGACACTAATAGAAGTTTGTTTTCATCTATACTACTTGGTTACTTTGTGTAAATTGTTCAAATACACTAGAAATTAGCAAAACCTTTGATCAGCTCCATGTTTTATCGGTTTCCATGATTTGAACATCTTGCTCTTTTGGTATGTGCTTCATGTTAATTACTGTGATTTGTGTGGTTGAATTAAAGATTTAATTCTTAAGTTTCTTGATGCCTAATGGTTTTGTGATGGTGTATGGTATATTTATATACACTGTAAACAGATCTGCTCATTGAGTTCTTTTCTGAACATTTATCTGAATTCTATCAGGTTCTGGAGTTGCTGGAATTGTTCTTCCAGAGAAAGAAGAGAAGGTGCTAGCGATCAAGACGGGCGATGCTATAGCCCTCCCTTTTGGTGTTGTAACATGGTGGTACAACAAAGAGGACACAGAACTTGTGATTCTCTTCCTTGGTGATACCAAAACTGCACACAAAGCTGGTTCATTCACAGACATGTACTTGACCGGCTCGAATGGCATTTTCACTGGCTTTTCAACTGAGTTTGTTAGCAGGGCATGGAATGTAGAAGAGAGTGTTGCTAAAACTCTTGTTAGCTCCCAAACTGCTCAGGGTATCGTGAAGCTTGACGCAGGCTTCCAAATGCCTGAGCCTAAGCAAGGCCACAGGGACGGCATGGTTCTCAACTGTTTGGAAGCCCCATTGGATGTTGACATTAAGGGTGGTGGAAAGGTTGTTGTTTTGAACACCAAGAACTTGCCTTTGGTTGGCGAAGTTGGACTTGGTGCTGATCTAGTGAGGTTGAATGGAAGTGCTATGTGCTCTCCTGGTTTTTCATGCGACTCAGCTCTTCAGGTAACTTACATTGTTAGAGGCAGTGGCCGAGTTCAAGTTGTTGGCCCTGATGGTAAGCGCGTTCTTGAAACACATATCAAGGCGGGCAATCTCTTCATCGTTCCAAGGTTCTTTGTCGTCTCCAAAATTGGTGATCCTGATGGCATGGACTGGTTCTCTATCATCACTACCCCTAAGTATGTGCCTTTTTTTGTTGTTTTTGTTGTTGTCGTCGTCAATATGCTGATTTGCTTAACCGATTTCTAACCTTAAACTAAATTTTATGTGGCAGTCCAATTTTCACTCACTTAGCGGGAAGGACTTCAGTGTGGAAGGCGTTATCGCCACAAGTGCTGCAGGCTGCATTCAAGGTTTCACCAGATGTAGAGAAGCAATTCAGCTCAAAGAGGACTGCAGAAGAGATTTTCTTCCCACCACCAAACTAATTTGATTGACCAAACTTTACATCCTTTAATAAACTTAGTAGTATAGAGGTTTTGGAATTGATGGTATACTGTTTTTGATTCGGATTTTTCTGTTGGTGTTGAGAACAAGAGTATCTTTGCTCTTCAGTTTTAATAATAATATCCTAGTTTAGTATACTATCTTTTGTTGGTTGCCTTTTTATTTCTGAATTTGATGGTACTGGTTTCTCTTTAAGTTCCACAAGTATTAGAACATATATACATTGCCTCATTTACCAAAATTTCAATCTCTGAAGAGGAAGATAGTTAAAAACTTAAAATTTACAAACCTATGAGAAAAAGATATCATCTACTCTGATACTCTGACGAATAGCCTGTTTGGCCAAGCTTCTAAAATCAGAATAAGCTTATTCTGACTAATAGCCTGTTTGGCTAAGCTTCTAAAATCAGCTTATTTTGAGAAGTGCTTTTCTCAAAAATACTTTTAAAAAAAGTGTTTTTGGTGAGAATCTTTTGAAGAGACGCTGCTTTTTTCTACTCCTCAAAACTGTTTCTGCTTCTCCTCAAAAGCACTTTTTTTTCCTTCCAAAAGCTTGGCCAAACACCTCAATTTTTAGCCAAAAGTGATTTTGGCCAAAAAAAGTACTTTTGGCCAAAAAAAAACTTGGCCAAACAAGCTATTAGATATCTTGATCATATATGAGCTTCTTTATATAATCAATAAATGATTTCCACTTGCAGCTTCAAACCAAATAAAATTAATTACCACATTGCTCTTTAATTCAAGGTCTTAGACTTCAGGAGTTATATCTTCAAATCCAAACAAAAAAGTTGCCAATTATTTAAAATCAGTTTACAAATAACATTCTACAACAAGTTCTAACCCAAAAAAAAGAGGGGGGGGGGGGGGGTCGGTTAAGTGGCCAAAAGGGAATAGTTAAAGACTTACAGGGGCCAGTCGACGAAAGTTAAAAAGTTAAAGGGCTCCGCTGCATTTTCCTCCTTTTTTAAGTACTATATTATTCATTTCATTTCATGGCGTTCCCTCCATCTTCAGAATAATAACCCGCCAAAGATCGAAATTGCGTATCACTATTGTTAGTTTGGGGAATTGGAATTGGGAAGAGAAAAAATCAAAACAGATGCCATTATTGAGCTCAATGGAGTGCGATTACCCATTAATCGACTCCAATTTCCGCGGCTTTTGTGCTTCTCACGCCATTTATTCAGGTTCCCTTTTCTATTACTCTCATTTTACCCAATTTGTTCTTATCAGTTTGAAGAGCCGATTTATTCTATGATATTATCTTCCTCATCTAGCTCTGATTAACTCAATCTCTTGGGTTTGCTTTTAGTTGTGTTAATCTTGCAATGTCCTCTTTTTCCCCCTTTCATTTTATGGGGATTCCATATATAAATATGCGCGTGTGTGTGTGTGTGTGTGCACAAGGGCTAAGATTTGAGTGTCAGGTTGTTATGTTATTTTGTAAGAGGGCCAACGGTGTTCCTATATTTTCATGCTGATATGATTCTGCGCAGAATACCCTGTTAGGCTACAACTTTCTATGCAACTTAGCCTTATATTGTAAACCAGCAGAGGAGCAAGGAATTTCACTAAGGGGTGTCAAAATACAAAGAAGTAAATACATGAATATGCTAAAGCGGATTCAATATATAGTATATACAGCTACACAATGTAATTTTATGACGAAGGGAGGTGGCTACTCTACTGCTATAAACACCTGATTTTGTAAACTTATGTGGCTAGAGCAGTTTCATCCTACCCGAGAAATAGTAATACAGATTAGTAATGGCAATGGGGCGGGGTTGGTGCTTAACCCGCCCCGCATAGCAGTTTTTTCTATTTTCAACCCGCCCCGCCCCGCCCGCATTTTTTTTCTTTTTTCCATTTTGTTATTTTTGCTAAAACAATACAAGTTCAATATTTCGTTTTTTTCAGTTTCTTAAATCTCTCATATGGATCCAAATATTATATTTCTAATTTCAGATATTATAATAGAAAATAAATAAATTGAAATGCATAAGAACTAAATAACTGAAAAGCATAAAAACTAGAAAATAAATGATTTGAAAAGCATTGTCAGCAAATCGTATACCTAAATTTAGGTATTAACTTATACTTAATAAATTTCCGTATAACAAATACAACAACAACAACCCAGTATAATCCCACGTGTGGGGTCTGGGGAGGGTGTGTATACGTAGACCTTACCCCTACCATGGAGGGTCGAAAGACCCTCGGCAGAAGGAGATGAAAAAGAGGCAATGGAACAATAACAACCACATACGTCAAGAAGGCAGTGCCAGCAACCTAAGAATTAGAAAAATAAATGAAAAAAGCAATATCAATACTAGGCAATCGGAGCAGAAAACAATACAAACACAACAAGTACCACTAACAATCTAAAGCAAGACACTACAAACTAGCCTAACACCCTCAACAGGGAAAAGAAACGCTCAACTACCTACTAACCTACGACCCTAATATTCGCCCTCAAAGCCTTCCTATCTAAGGTCAGGTCCTCGGTGAGCTGGAGTAGCGGCATGTCCTGCCTGGTCACCTCTCCCCAATATTTCTTAGGCCGCTCTCTACCTCTTCTCATACCTGACAAAGCCAACCGCTCGCACCTCCTAACCGGGGCGTCAAGGCTTCTTCTCTGCACGTGCCCGAACCATCTAACCCTTGCTTCTCGCATTTTGTCATCTATGGTTGCCTCCCCCACCTTAGCCCGAATATCCACATTCCTAATCTTATCCAACCTAGTATGCCCGCACATCCACCTCAACATCCTCATTTTTGCTACTTTCATCTTCTGGATATGAGAGTTCTTGACTGGCCAACATTCTGTCCCATACAACATAGCCGGGTCTAACCAGCGCTCTATAAAACTTGCCTTTAAGTTCTGGTGGCACCTTTTTGTCACACAAGATGCCAGATGCTAACCTCCATTTCATCCATCCCGCCCCTATTTCCGTATAACAAATATGCATCATAAATTTTTTTTAATAACTAGTTTATAAATATAATATGTAAACTCATAACATTTGCTGATATTTTAAGTGAAATATGATATAACAGTAGTGGACAATGTCCTTGACACGTATAGGTAAATATCTTGTATATTTAACATTAATAATTGCATAGTCAAATTTTCCAGTCACTCTATATTTATTGCTTGCCTTATTTTATATAATCTATAGTGATTTAGTACTTACACTCTGTTCTTCATTCTGCCCGTTAAATGTTAGTACTAAACCCGCAACGAAACCTGCAACCGCCCCGCATTAGATTTTGAAAAAAAATCAGTTTCAACCCGCCCTGCACCCGCACTGCCCCATTGACATCCCTAGTAACACTTTCATATAGAGGGAAGCTCATTTTAGATCGAATGATACTTCTGATATGGATAATGGGAGGAGCGTGTGTTACAACTATGTCAGGAATTCTTCCTCTTTATCTTTCAGAGATTGCTGGATTTGCTCATGTTAAGGCAGTTTGTTGGATAGTGTGAGAAGAGATGACCTAGAGTAATGATATTACCTTTAAAATGACAAAAACGGTGCATGTCACGAGTTTGAACACTGCCTCGGGTAAAAGCCTAGTATTTATATGGAGAAGGGTAGTTTCTCACTTACAAAAAAATTACAAAACACCGGTGGGGTGGGGTTTG